GTTTAGGGTTTAGGGGTTTAGGACCCCAAAACCCTGAACCTCAGATCCAAGCCCTCAAGCAGTTGACCCCGAACCCTAAACCCCCGAACTCGAAACCCGAAGCCTTGAACAAAGCCCGAAGCTCGCTTGAGGCCATTTTCTCGACGCTCGTTGCATCGCTGACCTCCCATGCGGCCTTCCTTAACAAGTCGGGAGAGGAGTCTGCCACCCCAAAGCCTGACACCTCAACATCCCAAACCCAAGTATTCGGATAACTATACTTATAACTGCTGTATAACCCCAATTGAGGTACTTATAACCATACTTACGAAGTCCCGTGATCCTCCAAGTAGATCCCTGAACTGTGCGAGAGGAGCGGCGAAACGAGTTTCGCCTGCTACGGAAGTTCTTGGCGCGAAGCCAAGTCGATGAAGAGTTGGCTTTGAGGACTGGCCGGTGTGGGCGCTACAGGGTCCCTTTGAAAGGTTCTGCGAGAGTTCTAATACAGGAGCCTAAATAATTACCAACGCCAGTGTGAGGGCTCTTTATTACAAGTATACTATAATGGGCCCCAAAACCCTATTCTAATTATTAAGGCCCCTAAACCCTAACTCCTTATAGTAGCCCTTATGGAACCCTTTGAAGGAACCCCGAAAAGGAACCCCCAAAACCCTATTCTAATTACTAAGGCCGCTGCATCAAGCAACCATAAAGCCCTACCTACTCTTTGGGGCTTGCGAAGGTGTTCCCAGAGAACCCAATACCCCTTAATTAAGGAATATACCGTAAACTATAATACTAAGGCCCCTATAATTTTAAGGCATATTCCTTAATTAAGGAATATACCGTAAATCATAAGACTAAGGCCCCTATGATATAAGGGCCTATTCCTTAATTGAGGTGTATTGGGTTCTCTGGGTTCAGGGCCCTTGAGGAGGGCTTTGACAAGCATCCGTGGCTCCCAAAACCTTCGAAATTTGGGTTTAGGGTTTAGGGTTTAGGGTTTAGGGTTTAGGGTTTAGGGGTTTCGGTGGCCAACTTTTTCAGGAGAATGGATTCTAGACTCTTGAGAAGTATTGGGGTCCAGCGTTTCTGGCTCAGGCGGCACGAAGGTTCAGGGCTGTGTGCGTAATTTGGGGGCCTTAATTATTAGAATAGGGTTTGGGGGTATAGCATACTATCATTATGGTAAGGAACCCCCAAAACCCTATTCTGATTATGAAGGCGCCGGTGACAGGGTTTAGTTTGTCAGGCTTCGTCTTGTTCCTTGGCATAGATACCACTTGTAGCATGTGGTCGTCCCTCTCGGCTGTGCCAGCAAGTGTGGTGAGTGTGGTGCCTTATGCTGTAAACTCTGAACCCCTTTGTTGGAACAACAGTACCCTAAACCCTAAACCCTAAACCCTAAACCCTAAACCCAAAACCCCCCCATAACTGCTGTTCCTACCTACGATCTTCGTCCACCTGGGCTTGGTGGCTCTCGGAGGGCCAGGAGCCAAAGCCAAGGCTTAGTCTCCCGATTTCTGAAGCGACCACCACGACCCCGACGAAGACGACGAGGGTTTAGGGGTTTAGGGTTTAGGGTTTTAGGGTTTAGGGTTTAGGGTTTAGGGTTTAGGGTTTAGGGACGCCCAAGACCCTTATCACCACTAAACCGACGACGACGACGACCTACTACCACCCCCCACTGCTGAGTGCAGGATCCAGCGATTCCTGGAGCATGCTCATGCGCTGACGAAGGCCTCCAAGAAGCCACGGCGGCTTAGGTTTAGGGGTTTAGGGTTTAGGGTTTAGGCTTTACGGTTTCGGGGTTCAGGGATTAGGGTTCAGGGCTTCGGTGGTTTGGTCCTTTTGGGGACACCGACAGGCAGAGTCACACCTAAAGCCGATAGTTTGGGGGTCGGAATAGTCAGGAATGCCATCCCCGTACCGTCCAGATATGATAACGCAGAAATCAACTTCAAGAACAGTTTTGAGGTCCTTTCTATTATTCGTTATTGGCAGCAGTGAAAAGGTTGAGGATTCATTGTAGTCTCTGCTTCAACTGACTGCGATCGCCGACAGGACCATGCACTTTGATCTCAGACTCCACATGGGGTTGGGCGCTCCCGAACTCATTTCCTGCCTGCAGGAAGTCGTCGATGAAATTCAGGTCCCTTTGCTGAGGCTCGCTGAAGAGAGTCGTTTGTGTTGGGGTGTATATGAAGGCCATCAAGAAGTTAGAGTACATGCCGGATGGGCTGGCCCAGCGTTTGTTTCGTGATTCTGTTCCAATATGACTTGTATATCCGTGAAGAAGCCAACTGCTGCAGCTGATTCGGTTCGTGGTCCCATTTCGACTGCCATGTGGTGATGTTGACTGCGACTCTGACTCTGGCCTCCTTATACTTGTAGTATCGTGAGTGTGGTGATGAGTAGGCTTCTTTACATTGCCTCTGCTATCGCTAGCAGCGGCATCACGGATAACAGTTGTGCTTCTGGCTGTGGCATCTGCTGATGCTGCTGCTGCAACCCATGGTACTAAATTTTAGAGCCTATTCTTCAGCTCATGTGTTTGATGCGGCAAGGGCTGCTTCGTCTGTCGGTGGTCATAGCGACTGGTAATTAGGAGGATGGTGACAACGTTGATGGTGGTCATGATCAGCACCTTAGATCATGATCAAGCGTCCCCCATTACCAATGCCAGTTCCGGGTTCAGACGAAGCCCAAGCGTTGGGATCAGGCCTCAGTATGGTAGCTGCGCCGGTGCATCCATGTTTTCTTCGGTGCCAGTGCCGTTCAAGACACCGGTCTCTTTCCCGTCATGTTCATAATCCCTGTTTGGAATACAGCGACCATTCCTGTTCTTGCTGGTGCTGTTCCTGTTGTAGCAGTGGTGGTAGTAGTAGTA